TGTGTCTGTGTTTGAGAGTGTGTGTGTGTGTGTGTGTGTGTGTGTGTGTGTGTGTGTGTGTGTGTGTGTGTGTGTGTGTGTGTGTGTGTGTGTGTGTGTGTGTGACAGGGTTTCTGACGCAGTGTGACATCAGCGCTGTTTGCGTGTGCGTTGGAAGTCATGAGGTTGTGGTAGGAAGAGCAGATTTTATCCGCCTGAGTGACTGCAGCTGTGCTTCCTGTTTACACTGACAGTGGTCAACTCCATCCCTGCTGACACCTGTCAACAGGCCGTTGCCTCGGAGACGCTGAGGAGCCAGAATAAGGAGGCGCGGAGGATTCCCCAGACAGACAGACAGTGAGAGGACACAGGATGGACCGGCAGCAGCACGTCAAAGTGGAGCGCTTTCTCAAACTGGGATATTCTCACAGTGACATCCTGAGGGTGCTGGAGAGCCTCCACCATGACGCCCAGACCAACGACATCCTGGAGGAGCTGATAAAGACCTGCCACACTGGCAGCAACAGGAGCGGCCCCCACAGCCCCCGGCTGGTTCCCAGGGGCTGCAGCCCGGGGCCCGCAGAGCCCAGAGCCGGGCCCCCCAGAGAGCCCCCCGCAGGCTTCAGAGCTGTTGTCATAGACGGGAGCAACGTGGCCATGAGGTGCGCCACACTCACACATCACTAACACACTCTGTCAACTCTAAAACGCTCTTAAAGTATAAAGTAAGTGTTCACAGTGTCTGATGTTTTCATCATTATCCAAATATCCATTTTAAAGTTTAGAATTGGAGAATCTTTGTAGGTTAGATCTTTATCTGCAAAGTGTCAAACAGTTCAAGTATAACGTAACCTTACATAGGGAACAGGTATCTCAAAGTCTGTATGTATGTAAATGTACACAGCCAGACATTTTTATGGAGGTGTGAGGCTTTAGAAGAGCAGAGAAGTTTATGTAAAAGAAAATTCTACTCCTCTACTTTAGGGTTAAAATAGGTTTCCGTTGGTATACCAGCGTCTCCATTAGTGTCACACTTTGTTTCACTTCACAGATTTGATCGCACCACACTTCCTCTTGAGAGATGTGGGAAGTAAAAACATGATATGCCGCTCTAATTTTTACTTTTTCTGCAATCAGTTCAGGATTACATTATGCCTGAAAGGGTGCACACATTGATCTTCCCAGCAGGAGGACTGTCCATACTGAGTGCAGTTCTTATCATACAATGTTTGACATGACCTCAATTGGAAACAAGGAAGTTCAGAGTTAAAATGTGTTCAAACAAATGATATGGAGAATAGGAGGAGGGAATGATATGAGAAAAGAAGAAAACAAGAGCATGTTGTTATATCATATTTGTATTTCTACAAATAGTACAGTTATGTGAAATCTGTTGACATAATATATTTAATTAAAGTCAACTTTTCAGTTTTGAGAGTGCATATGATCACATAAAACATAAAAATAGAGTGTAGAAGGAGCAGTTTTACTTCTGCAGGTTCAGGATGTGACGCTGCAGTCAGCAGACGGCTGCTGCACATCTGTGGTTCAGAGACCTCTGAGCCTTGTGACACCAAAAGGGGAAAGGGGATGCAAGTGCGTTATGTGCATGAAAACAAAAAAGAGAAGTTGTTTTTGTTGACTGTGGTGTCTGTGTTTTTGTAGCCATGGCAACAAGAAGGTGTTTTCATGCCAGGGCCTCCAGCTGGCAGTGAGCTGGTTCTGGGACAGAGGGCTGCAAGACATCACCGTGTTCGTCCCCCTGTGGAGGAAGGAGCAGCCGCGGGCCGAGGCCCCCATCACAGGTAAGAGCTGGAGGAGAGAGCCTCCAGATATAAGAATGTTCCTCAGTACAGTTTTCAGCTCTGTGAGCACAGGCCTCCCCTCCAGGCTCAGGTCTGACCTCACCCAACTGTCATGTTGTGTTCTATTATAAGACAGGTGCATTGAGTGTAGGCTGAACCGCAATAACCTTCATATTTCACCACTTATAATCAGGACCACCCAGAATTGTAGCCGAGCCACATTTGGCACGAGTATTACAACTTAATGATCTGTGAGAGGATGCACCGAGAGCACTAGACCCTGCTTCCCCCCACATCAGTGACGTCCCCTTTCTGGGCCAGCAAAACAAGACAATGAAGGGGATATGGCAAACATGATGGCAAAGAAATGACTTCATACCCAGCAGACACAGTGCAACGATACAATTCATGGAGTCAACTTTCTGCCTATTATTCTTTCACTTTTAACTCAGATTCTGTTCTCAGGCAGGTAAGTACAGAGTATGCTCAGTTCGTAGACTGCTTTTCTTAAAAAAGGTCAAATATATATACAGTACATGAATATATATAGCCTATATAAAACCCCACATTTGCGTAGGCATGCATGTACACACAAATGAAGCGCATGCAAGTGGCTTTGGATAAAAGTGTACCATGTGAGCTAAACCAAATATCCTTTTTACTTCACTCTATCTTTTAAGTGTAAGTTAACAACTTCTTCACTTCCTCTCTGGCAGCCTGGAGTTCCCCTCCTTCACGGTCTAACTAAAAGTATCAAACAACAAGGAAGTTTAAAATCTAAAACTGAAACCCAGTATTTTATTTATTTATTCAGTTCCAAGTTCCTTTTCAAACCATTTGATCACTGTGCAAAGCTCACTGTCACAACAGGGAAGCTGAAATAAGGATCAAGCGTCCTTGATCCTTATTTCAGCTTCCCTGAGGCAGCTCAGCTCATCTATCAGAAAGAACAGGGTAAACTACACCTGAAGTGGACATGCAGCGATACACATGCAATAGATGTAGCTGTGCTTAAGTGTGACTTTGTGCTGAATCATTATTACCCTGAATCATGCTCATTAACCACTGAGTTGTATTGAAAACTTCAAAAACATAATAAACCAGGCTCCTCTAACAGCACTGAACATGTGAAAGCATTGAGGCCACTAGAGTGGACATGTGTTTTTGTTGTTACAGACCAGGTGATTGCCATGCTTTCACCTAATAATAAGCCTTATAATGATGATTAAACAATATCATTATTTTTGTCGTAGATCAACACATTCTCCATGAGCTGGAGCGGAGGAAGATCCTGGTGTTCACGCCGTCTCGCTGCGTGAACGGGAAGAGGGTGGTGTGCTACGACGACCGCTACATCGTGAAGCTGGCCTTCGACTCCGACGGCATCATCGTGTCCAACGACAACTACAGAGACCTGCAGACAGAGAACCCGCAGTGGAAGAAGTTCATCGAGGAGAGGCTGCTCATGTACTCCTTCGCTAATGACAAGTAAGACTGACAGAATACAGGCAGGTGCTGCCCCCCCTCTCCCCTCCAACAGAACCACTAACTAAAGTGACGCGTTCAAGATTTTCATTGCCCACACAAAAACATTGAAATACTATCATCGGTGTTTGTTTTAGTGACATAATTGTTGTCAAAGACTTAGTTACAGTTTTCTTAATTATATTATTGAAAAAAACCATTCCTGTTATTTTTGACCCAAGTTACAACGCAGATTTTGCTGTTATACTATCAGATATTGTATTATAATAAAACATGTTTTGGAGGGAGGCCACATGGGGCTCCAAGTTCAGTGTTACAGAAGCTGATCATTTTTGAGCAAACAAACTCAATGACACTTTTGTTAAAATGCATTACATTTTATATCAAATCTATTCCTATAAATGTATTAAACTAATTCTTGTTGCTGTCATTGTGGCATAAGCAGTTTTCTAGCGCCATATTTTATCTGCCTATTTTTCACTGTGATCTTCCTTGTGATCTGATATGAAGACTGGTATAGCCTATGTGTTGATTACACCTGAAAGTCAGTACAAAAAAGAAACTTGTGCCTCTGTTCAAATGTGTAATGAAAGCAACAGTAGTCTTTAAAATGATGGTGAAAAATCAATACTATGTCCCACGTCTGCCTGGTTAATGTCGCGGGACATAGCCTAATGTATGTGTGTGGTTGTGTTTTAGTCACTTTGTTTTCTTGGCTCCCCTGCTTGTAAAAACGTTCTTCTCCTCGCCATGAACTGTTATTTCTCAGGTCAATCTCGCTTCAGCCTTTGTTACTCTCTTAAGAATGAGGTTCTTGTTCCAGTCCAGCAGATTGTTGGTTCAAAATAGGAACCAGTTTTCGGGGCCAAGAGCCGGCGCGCTGTATACAGCCAGCCTTCGAACCGCTTTGGTGTAATAGAGATGAAAGTGAGAGAGCAGATTGAAAATAACACGGTGCATTCCCTGCTGCAGGTTCATGCCTCCAGATGATCCGCTGGGGAGAAACGGCCCCAGCATCGATGACTTCCTGTTGAAGAAGCCGTGGAGCCCAGACAACAAACTGCAGCCCTGTCCTTACGGTCAGTTCACTCCTCAGCTTCACAACAACAGACCCAACACTGCTCAGTTTACACCCTCCTTCTCTAATGGGGATTACAACTGCACAACAGCGGCAGCTCGCTGCAAGGGTTGTACGGCTTCATTTGTCTGCAGCCATGCTAACATCAGCATGCTGGATGATGGAGAGGCATGTTTTTTAAGAGGGATGATAGTCATAAAGTAAACCATTCACATTAAACAAAAACATATGAAAAGTCAGGATCACAAAAGTGATAAGGACACATCTTCTGATAAAAAAGTGTGTGTCAATCCAGGTTATTATTCATGGGACAAATGAATACTGCTACTTGAGACACGAGAATGGAGTTTAGAGAGGGTGTGTACGACAGGACTGGTTCAAACAGCCTGCTAACCTGCATCTACACTGACAACAAACACAAACCAGAACTCTTCCAAAATCAGCACATTTTCTTCAATGCAAACAAAATAGTAGAAGACAGACAGCAAATGTAGCAAAGATTAAAGTAGACAACTGGATCATAAATCCAAGGTGAGTTCAGGACTTTGTAATGCTCTTAATTCGGAGTGGAGACTGATTCTGGTCTCCAGAGCCACAGCCTGCCGACAGTATTCGCTGGCTGAGAGGAAGCTGGGTCACACTCCATGTGTCTGTGAAGCGTGTGTGTTCCCAGCAGACACACACATGCAGTGTTCTTCAGGGGCCGTATTCACAAAGCATTTTATCTTACCGCTAGGAGTGCTCCTAACTCGCGCTAAAACATTTTACTTAGGAGTTTTTTCTTAAAAGTTATTCACAAAGCCGCTGAGACCTACTCATACTAAGGATAAATCACTAAGAGTGAACTAAGAGTGACGCGCCGTTGCTATGGATGACGTCGATTCTCGTGCATGAGTTTAGAAGCGGTCAGTACGGTGATTGGTTGTTCAGAGTAGGCGGTCTTGGTGAAACTCATCCGCAACATCCCACAAACGAGCCCACTAAATCACCGAAAAACAAGGAAATAGCCTAGGCTAGAAATGTATTCCTATCAAATAGTTATGGACAGTGCAGTTAGCAGAATACACACATGATGACAAGTTTGTGCAGACCACGATAATGACGTTGTATATGCACGTTAAAGAGAGAGAGCAAACAATAAAAATACGTAAATTGCATTAAATCGAGGAGGCAATTAAAAGCACCCTGCAAACTATTATCCAATGAGTATATTTCCAGCACTTAAACACTTTCAATAACAGCCCATACCACCGTTCAAGTCCCCCTATCATGATGAATGAAAACAATCTGCGTGTTGATGGAATGTACTCTGGACTTGAACGGTGGTATGGGCTGTTATTGAAAGTGTTTAAGTGCTGGAAANGTAAGGTCGTATCAACGTGCTCCCGTCTCTAGCACCCCCGCAGCCCGAGCTACGAGTGAAATAACTAAACTTACATGAAACTTCCGTTGGGTTGCTTTAAAGTCAAGCTTCAGTTTAAGATTCAACCTGTAATAGAAACATGTGATGGAGCATTACTAACCTGACTCAGATGGTTTGTTTCACCAAACCATCTAGGAAAGCTCCATTTAAAGCCATTTGGAAAAGTTTTTCAAAAATACTTTGCAGGTGATTGGATCAATCTGTCTATCACCTACTATCATCACTTAACATCCATATTCACTTTTTAAGGACACAAGGGGGGCCACAGAAGTCGGATCTGGAGCAATGATAAGCTCTGCACTGCAGCACGGAAACAGAGCTGCAGGGCTTTACACTGTGGTCGACTTCTGAACGTCTGAGACAAAGAGTCCAGTGTGGGGTCAACAAGTTAACACTAGGGCTGAACGATTAATTGATTTTAAATTAAAATCACGATTTTAAATTATGCAATTATCAAATCGCAAAGCCTGCAATTTTTGTTTGTTTTTAAATGTTTGTTCTTGTGTGTCAGTCATCCACACCAATCAGAAGTGCTGTGCTCCACATGTACCAGTCATTGTTAACCAATCAGAAGTGGTTCAAGTCCCCGACCAGACCTAAATATGGAGTGTGGACTGCTACTTGGAGAGGTCCTAGTTCACCTCCTGCCCTACCGTGGTGCATTTGAGCAAGGCACCGGACAACCCCCTTCCCCCCTCACTCCCATTGCTCCCCGGGCGCTGTAAAATAGCTGCCCACTGCTGCTAGTACTAGAATCCTGGTATTAGGATGGGTTAAAAGCAGAGAACACATTGCACTGTGTGTGCTGTGTGCTCTACATGTGTGACCATTGAAGAAGGTTTCATCCCTCCCAATATTATTATTATTGATTTATTAAGATCAGTAAGAAATGCTGGTTTTCTCAGTAGTCAGTCAGAGGCAGTTTCCTCCTGATGCTCCTTTTTTAGGAGCTCTGAGAGAATGAGGGCTTCTGAAATATATATGTCATCTATTCTTATCTAGCATTGATGTAACATGTTTTGAAATCACCCAGGCATAATTCATTTGACAACTCAAATGTCCGATTGATGTATTGTAGAGCGAAGTTGCAATAAACCACATTGACCTCGTCCCTGTCACTTTTTGATGAAATAATAACAAAACAAAGATGTCCTCAGACTGCATGTTTTCCTCAGTGTATATATATAGAAATATTTGATTGTTGGTGTGTTTTTTGTTTATGGAGAAAAGTTCATCAAATGTTTATCTTTTTTTGTCACAATTTAGAAGATGTTCAAGATGAAGGCTCCTTGCTGCCACGCCTGACGCCCCAGTGCGCTTAACAGAACAAGCAGTCCTGACCTGGCAACATACGAATGGCCCAGGGAAGCCACCAGATTGATATTCAGGTTTTGCATGACCTGCGCCAGAAGTTCCCTGAAGTCCCAGAGGGTGTTGTCTCCCAGTGTGTTCTGCAGGTGGGCAAGTTCACACATCTGACTCCAGTAAAGATGATTCCTAGAAAGTGAAACCAGCCTGATGATCTTTCGCTCATTGTAGATACTTATTGGTGCCAGCAGATTTGGTCCATTCGTAACAAGCAGCAAGTTAAACCATTTCATTGTAAATAGACATTTTTCAACAATATCCCGCTCTGTACCAATCTTTATCACACTTCTTTGTTAATTAAAAAACGGGTGTGAATGACACCCGCTCATTCTCTCTCTTTTTCCTTCAGAACAACAACAACCTGGACGCCTGCTGTGAATACTTGTCCCAGGTCAGTCCGGGCTACCTGTACAGTGAAGAAGGAAACCTCAGCTTCTCCGACGACCCCGGCTTCATTAGGCTTCGTAATCATATGACCCAGTTGAACCTGGGCCTGCAGTCTCAGAATGTGCATTTGGCCCCGGTTCGGGACAGCCTGAGAATGAACGGCAGTCGGACTCTGGCCCACAGCCTGAGTGACGGGCCCCTTCAGACAGGACAGGCCCCCAACAGTGACTTCTTTCAGCAGGAGCCACAGTCAGCCCCAGTGCAGGTGCCCTCCAGCATCAATGTGTTTGGTGTGATGGAGCCAACTCGTAAACCGCAGCCCCCCCAACACCTAGGACTCTACCCTCTGGGTGTCAAAGGAACAACTATGGGTGTCCAGCAGACCCCACGCTTCAACCCCATCACCGTGACGCTAGCCCCCCATATTCAGACAGGACGCAACACCCCCACTTCTCTGCACATACACGGCGGGCCCCCTTCGGGCCTCAACAGTCCACAGGGTAACTCCATCTATATCCGGCCCTATGTGAGCCAGTCTGCTGCGAGCCGGCAGAACCAGCCGCAGGGGGGCCGGGCCCAGTACAGCCCCACCTCCCAGCCCCAGCAGCAGATCTACCAGATCTCACACCCCTCCTCCCTGTCGGGCACCTGGTCTAGCCCTCAGCACGCCTCGTCCTCACATACCTCACAGCACCAGACCTCTCATGTCTACATGCCAATCAGCTCCCCCACAAACCCCCAGGCCCCCTGCATTCTTCCCACTGCAACCCAGGCCTCTTCCTCTGGTGTCTCCTCATGCTCTTCCTCCTCCTCCTCCGTCATGCCCACCTCCCTGTCGACCATCAGTCAGTACAACATCCAGAACATCTCCACCGGCCCCAGAAAGAATCAGATAGAGATTAAACTAGAATCCCCTCAGAGAAACAACTCCACGACCACGACAGCCGTGCTGCGGACGAGCAGCGGGGCCCGCTCCTCCTCCGCCTCTTCCTCCTGCCCTTCCTCTTCATCCACTTCAACTGGGGTGGCTACGGTCCCCAGCACCCCTCTGTCCATCGGAGGCCCCGGTCTGAGCCGCAGCCAGCCCACTGTTTACATCTCTGCCAGCCCCCCTGCTGCAGCCCCAGCGGCCTGTGAGGAGGCGGCCTTGGCCCCTGCCGGCGCTCGATCCCAGCCCAAGTTTTACATTTCTGCCAATGCCTCCAGCGACGATAGTGGTGGTGGTAGGAACCCTCCCACAGTCTACATCTCAGCCAACCCTCCCATGCAGGGACCCTCAGGGGCCAGGAACATGGGGGGCCAAGTGAGCATGGGCCCTGCCTACATCCACCACCATCCACCTAAGTCCCGTGCCTCTTTAGGAGGGGGAGGCACAGCTTCCTCCCCACGTGTTGTGGTAACTCAGCCCAACACCAAGTACACTTTTAAAATCACAGTTTCCCCCAATAAGCCCCCGGCTGTGTCCCCTGGAGTCGTGTCCCCAACTTTTGAGCCCAACAACCTCCTCAGCCTCCCCGCCGACCACCACTTTGTTGAGCCCGACCCCCTCCACCTCTCCGACCCGCTGTCGCCTCACAGGGAGAGGCCGAGCGAGCCGCGCCGACTCAGCATGGGCTCTGATGACGCTGCGTACACACAAGGTGAGCACTTGAATGCAACAAACACACAAAACCATGGACAGAGGAAACTCATGGATCAGCTCTCATGCACACCAGTCTGCAGATAAAATCTTTAAATACAGATAATCGACACAGCTTGGACCAAACACATAAAATGTGCAAGAATGGTCAACCCACAATGGTGTTGGTGGATAAGGCAGACTGCTCCGTGTGTGGTGTCGCTGTGCCGCTGTCACGTCTGTTCCTTGATCTCTGCGTCACCGATCAATTTGATATTCGTGCGACAGAAAAAATTCTAAAATAAAAAAAGTTTATTGTCCAGTCGCGGCTGAAAAATCAAGAAGCAACGTTACTACGCTATAATCGATAATCGAGCGAGCGAGCCCAGCTCGCAATCGACGTGTTGGAGACTCCTGACCTCCATCATCTGATGTCTCAGAGCTGTTGGCTTCACTTTTATTGTTTTTTTAACAAATGTCAAGTGGCGAAAGAGTGCACATTGATAAGGGAGAAAATACCAGTTCCTAGAGCCATTTTAACTGAGTGATAGTATGCAGGGTTTTTTCTTGCCAGCAGTGGGTCTAAAAGCTTTTTCCATCTCTTCCTGCCAAGAGAGTAATTTTACCATAAAGTATACTGTGAGATTTTAAGTTGTTTCCCATAACATTGACTGTATTGTGTTTTTGAGCCAAACGTTGTGTACTTACTGCGGTCAGTAATGCTCTTTCAGTGTAGACAGTGCTCTGCATGTCTGTCAGATAAAGCAGAGGTGAGTGTGTCAGTGACGGCAATGTGAGTGTCTGCTCTGACAGCCCCTGAGACTGTTGAATTCTGTAGTGTGAGTCAAACGTGTCCGAGCACACTGCCGTTTCCTTTTTTGGGCTTTTCACTGTATTACGTGTGAGTCACTGGCTGTGGATCCTACACTGCAGTGACTACCACCAAGAGGGGCTTCACAGCAGGGGGGCATGCTGCCACTGCTGCTGACCCTCATCAGACCCCTGTTTTCATCCTTTCTCTGCTCAGGCTTGGAAAAGTGAACTGAAAAGACGTGCCTGTCACCACATAACTGTTAAACAAACATGATTGTATAACCGTAAGCGGAAGGAAGACGATTTATTGGAATGACCTGGTTCTGGCAAGTTAAGGCATGTTTGAAAAGCAACCATAGACCAGTCAGTTATGTCTTTTAAGACGAATCAAATAAAACCAGATGCAGACACTGCTGGACACTGTAAATTGTTTTATTTGATGTATTGGTCAATTAACTCTGGGAGGCTGTGGCTCAGTGGAATGATGCACTGATCTTTGGAGAGCAAGTGGCGGGTACAGAAAAATGGAGAAGGTACCGAACTGTTATTTGGACATTTTACATATTTTCTAGCCGGCGGAGTTATTTGTAACAAATGCAAAGTTTAATTTTCTTATCTGTGGACTTGGGGAACTTGCTTTTCTTTGAAAAACGAGATAACACGTCAAAGCCCTGGCAGTGGCAAATAGCTTTGGGTTTATATTTGATTTGATTACATTCATTCATGTTGAAGTTGAGATTTACCATCAATATTTGAACTGCTACTGTGTTAATGGAATACTGCTGTTAAAAAGCACCTTATTTATTGATGTGTTTGCAAACCAAATGTTATTGCACTATTGTTCATATAGCAGTACTTTTAAAATAAAAGTGTGCAATACACTACTTTTGAATTCCTTATGGATTTTTGCGCACAAGAATGCATTTAATCGCGAATAAAAAAATGTAATTGTTGACCAGCACTAGTTATAACATAAATGCAGCTTGGTGCGTAGTTTGGGATGAGAAATAGATCAGGGTCCTGTCCTTCACTTAGCTGCACAGCTTACTTTCAATGACAAACATTTTTAAGATTGGCCTAAACAGTATCGTACTCAAATCAATGAAATCCAAATGTTATTAATATAGCCACATATAACCAATTAGACATTTGCCTCAATCACCCTCTGTCTCCATCACAACAATATAATCTGAGCATAAACAAAATATGGATCCAGGAGGCCAATGAACCAAAAATACTAATAAAGAGTATCGCAACAATAAGAACTATAACAATAAGACTTATAATAATAATAATAATGCAAACTCTAACAATATGACTGATGGTTTTAGTAGTGGGTGTCAAGCAGCATCCAATACTAATGCTGTGGTGAAGATGAAGGCTTATCATAGCTGATCGGAGGTCATGTGCATCATGTTGCGTTTACATGTCCAGTACCAGGACATTTCGACAAAGATCAAGTGTCCATCTCCCCATGATTTGTAAAGAGGCATGTGTTTGTGTGTAGCAGAGAATGAGTTGTTGATCATTGAGTGTGTAGGAGGTGTTGGGGCCTGTCAACAGAAGCAGGAACTCTGAAGAATGATGTGAAACATGCTGTAGAGACTTGAGCAGAACATGTGCACGTTGGAGGTTCTGTATGAAACGTTGCTGCAGAATGTGCCTGCAGCAGTCTGATCCCTGGCTGTTACCACAATAGGTGAAGACACGCAGATTGATGTCTCCTACACCAAGCTGCTTTGTGCTCCAAACTGGTTTGACTAGTGTGTGTAGAACACCCTGTGGTGGATCTGAAAGTGCAGTGGCGAACCGTGGCTATCACAACTGGACCTTCTGTAGACACACCCAGCCGCGCCCGCCGCCCCCCTGCCCCCCTCCGCGGCATTATAATGTCCGTCTTTTCACTGAATTGTCGTCTTGAAAAGGGTACTCACAACAATTCCGCAACAACTTCATCTTCACCTGTTGCACTTGTCATTTCAACGTTAAAAACAATAAAACGGCATAAATTGCTTCGTCGCATTCATCTAGATCCTCTGTCTCGAGCCAGTTAACTAGCGGGCCTTCTAGAGAACCCTGGAACCGAGGGGAACTCTAAAAGAACACGCCCATTGGCTACAAATCAAAACTGTCAGTCCAAACGTACGCTCTCATTCAGTGCAACGGCCAGGGCATTATATCAAGGATATAGAATACCTTGGTTGAAGGATACTCTACCCAGAGACCCAGAACAAGATCTGATTGGTTGCTTTTTTTCCTAACACAAAACCACTGAAATGCGTAGTGCATGGTCCGAGAAGGACAAACAAATCAACCTAACACTGTAATATTACAGATCAACAACACAGATACGATTCTCATTTATTCATTTTATATACATTTTATTACATTTTATTTATATACCGGTAATTAAATTGATTTTTTGTTTGTTTTATCTGAGTGTTCCAGGGTATTCTCTGAATACCTTGAAGGCCCTGACGGTTCGCCACTGTGAAAGTGTTAGTGCCAATATACACAACCTATTTCATTGATGACATTGTTTTTCTACAGTTTTATTTTCTGTCTTGTTTTATCTGCAGTTTCTAATGTTGGGGTGTTCACTATATAACATTCCTTACATTTAGATTAAATCCAACTTGATTGTCATTTCACAGATTACACACAAGTACTGGGACAATGCATCTAACCATAAGTGCAAGAGAAGCAGTAAACTGCAGTGAAATGTCTAGTTAAAAGTATATAAATATGACGGTATGAACAGTATTAAAAAGTATAAATATAAAACACTATAGACAATGTTGCGATTTTATAAATGATATGAATAAGGTTAAGAAAATATAACCAGATTGGATAGTTTTCTAAATAAAATGTGCAGATGTGACTAAGTGTTCCTCATTGAATTCTACATCATGCTAAATGATGTTGACATCTTTGAGTGGTTGTTCACTGGTAAATGGTTGCTGCAGTACCGACTGTGTGTTTGCATGTGTGTGTGTTCTCCAGCGCTGTTGGTCCATCAGAAGGCACGAATGGAGAGGCTGTGGCACGAGCTGGAGCTGAAGAAGAAGAAACTGGAGAAGCTAAAAGAGGAGGTGAACGAGATGGAGAGTGACCTGACCAGGAGACGGCTGGAGAGATCCAGCTCCGCCTCCCAAATCCCTTCTGTAAGCAAGAAACACCTTATCTCTCGTCAGCTACCACCAGACTATCACCTTTTTGCTCTAATTGATGGACAGAGTGAATCTTAACCAATACACTCACGGATGCCCCGATGGCCAATTCAAATCACTTTTCATTTGCAGCTCAATTTTAAAAACAAGCTCCAAATGATTCTTATTAGCAGTTTGTTGTGATGTTCTTTAGAACTGCAAACCAGGTTCTCCTGATTATTAGTGACAGATAAAGCCTCAAGAGAAGAAACCAGATTTGGACCACATTACATTTTCTGGCTCCAGTGAACATCACAGGGCCAATTGATCATTCTGATATACTTCCATATTTTCAGACTGACAAAGTGTACAGTTTATTAGATTCACTTCACAGTTGTTCCTTCAGCTAAAACAGGGACAGTTCAACAGAAGAAAAAAGTCTGAGGTGGCCATGTCTCACACTGAGAGCTGAGAGTTTGTAGAGAGCTCTCGTGATCCGGGCTTTCTGCTGAGTCAGCTGACTCCCTTGAAACTTTAACAGTTTGCATCCACAGAGGGAAAGTGGCTGCTGTAGCTGAGCTGAGTCGTTCCTTTGTTCAGAGTTGTTAATAATAATAATACATGGTATTTTTATATAGCGCTTCTACTGGTGCTCAAAGACGCTTTACAAGCCAGTAGAGAAAATATCAACAAAGAAAAATAAAGTGATAAGCCAGGTGGAATAGGGGCTAGAGGTTAGAAGATTAGCAGTTGAAGGCAAGAGTGGAATAGGGGCTAGAGGTTAGAAGATTAGCAGTTGAAGGCAAGAGTGAAAAGGTGAGTTTTGAGGGCTTGAGAGTTGTCTCCCGTCTGTGTGTGATGGCTGACCTGCTGACCCCCCCCATCTCACCCCGTTTCAGATTGAGGAAATGAAGCAGTTGAGATGCAAAAACAGGTCCCTGCAGATCGACATTGACTGCCTCACCAAAGAAATTGATCTCCTTCAAACAAGAGGTGAGTCTCTCTCTGATGTGTCCTTATCACTGGTTCTAAACTAGCATTCAGAGTAATAAAGTGAAGCGTAGGTAGGGAGGTCAGACCAGCTGTGCAGCTGCTCAGATCCTCTCTGCACACACACTGTGCCGCTAACTACCAGCTCTTCCTCAATTGCATCCTGTTGCTGGTTGGTAAGTGATTTATGCCCTCCACTGCTGATAGAAACTGACCCCACAGGCCTCATGAATGAATAGTACTCACGGAGTTCCCTGTTGTGGGACGGCCCAGTGACATGTTGAATAAAAAAACATGGAGCTTCTCATCAGAGTTGGCTTCATAGCTCAATGAAAAATGCCAATGCACTGTTTTCCATCTGTTGACAGGACCACACTTTAATCCCAGTGCAATCCATAATTTTTATGACAACATTGGATTCCTCGGTCCTGTCCCACCCAAACCCAAAGGTACTTTATCTCTTGGTAAGTTGAGAAAAAGCTGCATGTCATGTACTGTATGAAAATGTGTGTGTTTAGATCAGGGGTCTGCAACCTTTTTGACCAAAAGAGCAATTTTTCCCCCTTTTCCACCAATTGTTTTTGTCTGGAGCCGCAAAACATATTTGATAGCTTGATAGCTTATAACGTTGTATTTATTGTTACATCATAGACAAAAACAGTTTTTTTGCATTTATTATTTATTACATTATAGAGAACTGTTTACCTCTAATAATAAACAAATAACTCCTATAAGGAGAATAAAAAAAGCAATACAGGCCCACTTTAAAATAAATCAACACAGCACTTGGGGAGTCCTCTGCACATTTGAAGGAAATTAAAAAATTAAAATGGGCCCACTTTGAAATAAATCAAACATATTAGCTGCACCCAAAAAAGAGTTGACTGATTGAATTATGACTGAAGATCGTCAGCTGTCTTCCTCTCCCTTGTTGTTCCTCGATACGTAAAGGCTGCAGCACCTTTGACTACTTCTCTCTACATCTCAAACATACCGGTTAGCCAGCATCGTTTGCTGTGAAAGCGTACAACTCTGTCCACGCAGAATTAAACCCTCTGTGTTCCTCCCATACTTTTATTTCCTTTGATTTATCCATAGTTCGCTCATCGAGCCGGGGGTCAGGTTATTCGCCTGCAAGAAAATTAGTTGACCTAATTAAAACCGTTTTTTAAAATGTTGTATGTGTCACAGTATCACCTCAAAATAGAAGATACGAAACATTTTCAACCATGCAAGAAAATATAAATAGTCCTACAAATACTTTTATTTTATTTCCTTCTTATTTTTGTCTACTCCCAGAGTAGAGAGCTTAAAGGGCCGCATGCGGCTCGAGGTCCGCGGGTTGCCGACCCCTGCGTTAGGTCCATCCATGCATGAGGTTGTCTTTTTGTAATATCCCCCATTCATTGATTCATTCATTGCATGCTGTCTATCATACTGTACCTGCTGACTGAAATGTGTACACAAATAATCTCTTCTGCTCCAAAATCCATTTTCATCCATCCCTCTGTCTGCCTCCCATTCCTTGAGCCCCCCTTGCCCTGTCTGCTCCTTCCTCTCTGTCAGACGTTTCATTTTTCCTCCTTCCTTCATTTTGAACACTTTTACTTGGTCTTTGATGACCTCTTGGTTTTTCACCTTATTTAAGGAATTGATCAAACCATGCTTTGTAGTATTATAAGGTTATGCAACCCTTCAGAAGAATCTAACTAGCTCAGAGGTGTTTGAGTTTGGAAATGATTGAGTTAAATACGTTTAGAGCCATGACAAGGTAACACTCACCAGTATTTCACAATAGAAAGGCAAAGACTAAAGATGGAAAAATAAACGTATTTCTATTGCAGAAATATCCAAAAAGACCTTCTGTCTATCATCTCACAACCACCCTGCTTTATTCCATTTGGAACGCCACAAGTTGTTGATGAGCATGAATGAGCATTATAGATGGTAATTAACTCATGTTAATTAACACAACTTATGTTAATTGTACAAATTGGCCGACATATGCAAGTTAGCATCCAGCAGTTTCTATGTGCTGGGGACCCATACTATACATTTCTATCATAACACTTTGGGGTACTCACAATTCCTGGTTCACTATGCTGGCAACTAGACTATTATCACAGCTTCAAATGTTAATGATCTGGATGTCCATGCTTGGGTCGGTTGGTGGACAGCGTCTGACTTGTCCTCCTCTTCACAGACGTAGGCACCAAGGCAGTGAAGCCCCTGGCAGAGCAGGAGGAGGACGAGGGGACGCAGTGGAGCTGCACCGCCTGCACCTTCCTCAACCACCCCGCCCTCAACCGCTGTGAACAGTGCGAGTTCCCGCGGCACTTCTGAGCCTACAAGGCCCCCTCCTCTGCCATCCTGTCCGCACCATAACACCAGAGAGAAGGAAGAAGTTCTTCTTCGGTTTCTTCGTCGTATCAACTGGTACGGGGCTCGCTCATCGTGCGTCCTGTTCCCCTTTTTTTTCCAATGCTCCCACTGAAGGTCTGACAGGATGGTGTTCACAGAGGAGGACCAGACCTCAGCTGAGAGACTCAGAGGGGGCGGCGGGGGAAACTTTATCCCGGGATACCTCGCTGCTCCCACTTACAGTATTACAAGTGTGGCCCAGCAGTGTGACCACACACACACACACACACACACACACACACACACACACACACACACACCCCACACATAGGTACCTATGTGCCTTTTGTTGATTGCATTGGGTTTTTCTTGCTCTGTGGTGGCCTGTTCAGCCACTGCTCTCCATCTGAAGGGAATCCTGACGGACTGATCGAGGACTTTAAAGTGTGTTTGCTGTCTGTAGAGGATGTCAAAGGGGGGTATTGCTAACTGCCACTCTCATGTGCCTCTTGTCCTCCCTCTTCTGTGCCTTGGGTCACGAGTTAATCAAAAGAAAGAAAGTTGCATGCTTGTGTACAGTACATGGAGGCAGAAGCTCCCCTTGAGCTTTTAACTGTACATCATTTTAGAATGTGCCTTGAAAGCCTCCCTCCTCACACTATGACTTATATTTCCTGTAAGTATAGCTTTATAGACTTTATTAATGTTTTTGTCTTGTTTTGTTCCCCTCTTCCAAACAAATAAGCACCATGCTCCCTTTCTAAGTGTTTGATTTCTGTGAGAGTTGAAGCCTTGCAGAAGGAGAGGAACAGAGTAAGACCCCTGCAGTCATCATGAAGCTGCGTCTGCTCAGCGCTCGTGTGGCGCCCAGCTTCCTGTGTACCACCGCACAGCAGCAAAGAAGAAGGCTATGGAGGGCTTCTTTTTCCTTTTTTCAGGATGCCAAATATTTCAGGAGGGGGAGGGGAGGGGTCAAAAAGCTAAATGAAACACTGCCATCTTATCTGACAACTGGAATGTAGGTTTGATGTTTTGGGGAGAGCTTCACCTCAGTGCAAAGAGACACTCATCCTCCAGTCCCATCAGGAAGTGACTGCAGCTCTGAAACAGCTGATTTGGTTCAAAGTGGCATGTTGCTCTGCAGCTGATGGAGTCCTGTGAGGTTACGAAGATCAAAGTATTCCTATGATGTAAAAAATACTCATATACAACAGGTCACAACACAACTGTCCAGTTTGTATACTCTTATTTGGCTCATTTCATCCTCCTAAGCTTTTATTGATGAGGGTGTCTCTAAAGTTTACTTATTGTCATTAACTTACCTTAACTGTGGAGTAGTTACTTAGTTTTGTTTTTTCCACACTTGTGAAATGTTGCCTTGCATCAGTGCCTTTGGAACTATTGAATTTGTATTGATCATCTATTCTGTCACATCCAAGTGCCCTTTTATCAAAGCAAAATGTTAGTTGTTGAAACCCATTTAAAAGTAGATGAATTATTGTCTCTTAAGCACTTACGCCATACTTTTCTTCAAAGAAACCAGTTTTCATCTTCATCTGCACCTTGGTGTATGTTTTATTAAATTGACAAAAAGTTATTTGGATATCTAAAGTGTTTTTTTGATTTTAGCTGGGAAAACTGTCTTTGTAACAGATAAGTTATTTGTAAAAAATAATTAAAAAAATCTATTCTGAGTTGTTTTGATGTGTGTTTTGTCATTCAGATGTTGCTTTTATCCAGTAGATGGCGTCATGGGTTCCGGGGGCAGCTGGAATCAAACCGGCTTCCTCTCAGTGTCAGCCTCTGGGTTGCGAATGCTGGTTTCTCTGAACTTTATTTGTATTGAGTTGTGTTTGTACATTCAACAAAAAACATTACACATGTTTATTTGTGGCTTCTTTTAGCTTAGAACAAAGGTAAACAAAAGGTAAAAACTATTTCTCTCACTCTTGAGTTGCCTTAAGTCATTTTTTCCATTATATAGACCTCTTATTATATCCATCCACTACACTTTAATAATGGCTCCTTACACCAGTTGGTTGTTTATTTCTTGAGTATTAATAACAGGATCTTAGATATGTATCTATCATTATCAATCACGCAATCATTTATTTTTCCAAGCTTCAAAATGGTGCATTCCTTGGGTATTGAAAACCCCAGAATGTCTCCAAATGCACATTTTCAGAAAAGGTACTTCCCACATAAGCAGCAACATGTTTGTTGTGAAGAGTCTTGTGAGGTTTTTCCATCCAAACGGTGGTGTTTTGTGATTGGCACATGTTGAGCCATTCTCACCAAACACTTCATAATACAATGAATGATTATGATGAAGCTTTTCCTTTGGTTACCAGTCAACATGTCTCCTGTGGAAAAGGTCCACTAACGTTTTGTCACAAGATGTCTTAAACTCTTGAGTGTGTCACTGGAGGTTTTGCATGGATTATCACCTGCATCCTTAATTGATAGTGTTAACACTGTTTTTTTGCTTGTTTTCTCCTTTTGAGAATATTGATGTCTCAATATGCCAACGGTAGAGATGCTGTAAGCGTTAATAACAGTTGGCCGATACTTAAAAGTTAGAGCCACAGAGATGGCTAGCAATGTATACATCTGACAACCCATAGTGCACTTACCTCCTGAGCTGAATGCTCCTGTTTAACACGATGGAGGCATACATTCAAGTGCCACAGCACCATCCTATGTATGGAGCTAATTTTCTGCCATAAATCCAAAAACAAACCAAACAGCAATCACCTGCATAACAGCACTGTCCCTTCACTAGCGTTTACATCACTGAGTCATCAGGTGCCTGAGTGTGTTTCTGCTGAGCTAATGTCCTCAACGTGTTACCATTCAAATCAAACCGCTTTGCTCCCTTTCCCAGAGATATAGCTATAAATGCTGAATGATTTTAGGTTACGAAATATTAAAATGTCTTTAGTGTCAATGTCACAGTATCACCATTACAAAATATTGTCCACTAGGTAAGAAGGAAAAAAAAAATGTTATTTTTTTTGGGTCACGATCCTTTCACTTCCTTTTTTAAATTTCTATTCCAACAGAGGTAACAAAGTTAGTCCAGGTTTATAAAGCCTGCAGGAAACAACCATAACAAATAACAGCTATAGTCTTTTTTTCAGAGGAAGGCTCCTAACGGAGTGAAATGACCCTGAAGTAGAAAAGGAGATCAATCTTTGAGATTGGGACATTCATGGAAATATACCATTGTAACCAAAGCAGGTCCTGTTAGTTCCGACACGAGACCCTGCAGGTGGAGTCTGAGCTGCTCCTGTCAGACAGGAAGTCTGTGATCCACATGCAGCTGGGAGAGCTCCTCCTGTAGCAGAGACCGGGTCCTCCTGGCCTAGGTCCTGCTGGGTCCAGGTGCTGCAGGAGGACCGGGGGTCCATGGTGACTGCATTGACTTCAGACCTGTTGGCCCTGAAGTAGATGCAAGGGGTCCAGGAGGGGGGTCGTCCTTAAAAGACCTCATAACCACAGAGGTTATGGGGGGGGGGGGGGGTGCTGTAGTCAGTAAGTCCTCTGATCCTTGGTTTCTTTGGGACGGGGTTGATTGTGGAGGATTTGCAGCAGGCTGCTTCAGTCTGACTGCTGACCTTCAGAGCTTCTAATGCTTGCATACTTCAGAAAGTTGTTGTATTTATGGGAATATTATGGTATGACTGGGCTCTACCTCTGCTTCTGTTTTATCCTTTACATGGCCAGGTACCTGTAGCTTTCATTTCATCTTAATCTGTCACACAGGTGGAGCTGCAGACTAGTGCAGCAGCAGCTCTATTAAATCTTATTTCATACATCATGTTCTTTATGTACGTATCTCACGCACCAACAAGGACTGGGTAATATGTGAACCAATGACAAATATTCAGAGTTCTTTTATTTCACAATATTCAAAAAGTACACATTAGTATAACAGAGTTCCTCACTTTGAGGCAACATAAGAAAACAACACATGCTGCTTTATTAAAATGTTTTACTGCTACAATAAGTAACATGAATTGGGTGTGTGCATTGCACTTTTACACTAAAGAAAGAGCATTCAGTCTGCTACATGTTCATGTTTTAATGCTTGAAATACAGGGTGAGTTGTGAATGTGTTCTAGCACAGAGACATGGTATGAAGTAAAGGGGACCTATCATGCAAAATGCACTTGTTGATGTCTTTTATACATAAACATGTGTCCCCGGTGCGTCTGGGAACTCACGCAGCGTCAGAAAATAAAACCCTCTCTCTTTTCCTCCGTACCCAAATCTCTAAAAACGAGGTACAACGGAGCTGATCCAGATTTGCGTCCGATATGACGTAATATCGGAAATGTAGGCTGGCTTTACGGCCACGGGCCTATCAGAAACGTTGCTATCAGAAACAATGCCCGATTTGTTTTGGACGTAATATGGTCTGTGTTTACATTAGCATGGCTAACACTCAGAGCTAACCTGTACTGGAGAGCATGTGTGTGAAGAAGCAGGAAATAAAAAGGAACTCACCTTGTGGTATGACCGGCAAGAGAGAAAGCCTTTGAGCTCCATACTGTTTCAGAGATAATCCTTGATAATCCATGATATGGCGTTTCATCACGGCAGCATTTAGTTTAGACAGTAACTACCGGGTCCCGCATGAGCTCAGCCCCTCCTTTTTTATTTTGTTATTGAAATAGAGGGATATGAGGCATGGCTAGAATGGATGGTCTGTTTGGCATTTTGAGCAAAACCCTTCATAGACATGTTTTTTATATATTTGTATATATCTAAGACCCATGCTATTGCCTAAAAATAGCATGATAGGTGTCCTTTAATAGAAAAAGCCTTGTTCCCTTTCTCCAGGTTTCTCTATGCCTGAGGTTTGTGAGACGGTTTGTAATCTAGAAGGAGACGTGGCTGCTCCTGTAGCTCTGGATGAGAGAGATCAGATGGGTCATGTCTGAGATGTGAGGGTGCGTGCTCATGACCTGCTCCACCGCGCCCTGAGGGAACAGGGTGCTCAGCTGGCTGCGCAGGCTCCCCCTCTGCTCTGCGGCCGGGCTCCTGGCTCCGCCCTGCAGCCAGGCCCCCCTCTGTGGAGCGGGGCCCCGTCTGTACTGCTGCTCTGCACTGTGTACAGGAGGCTCCCTGTTATGTGGAGGCAGAGCTGGGCAGGAGCCCCATGCTGGGGGGTGGTGGGGGTACAATCTAGTCTGAGGATGAGCACAGCTGCACACAGGGCGCAGGCAGGGCACTGATGAGTGGTGATGGGGGTAGAAATCGCAGAAGGAGCCTGAGAGCGAGCAGTCATCGTGGCTGTAGCTGGCCACTCCGCTGCTGTAGCTGTGGGGGGGGCGCTCCACACTGTCCTGGATGTAGAGCCTGGACATGGAGCTATCCATGGAGCTGAAGGCCTCGTCCTCCTCGGGGCTGGGGCAGAGGCGGAGGCAGCGGCTGGGGGGGCTGCGGGGGCTGCTGGTGTCTCTGTGGAAGACCAAGAGCTCGCTGGTTGAAGCCCTGAGGGACAGGTCGTCTGTGCTGAGAGGGGGGTTGGGGGAGCCGTATCTGCAGTGTGTGTTCTTGGCTCGGTCCCTCAGCTCGTCGGCCACAGACAGCTGGGACTGGTGGGCCCGCTCCGGGTGATAGAACTTGCACTTGACTCCATAAGTACATTTCTTTCCTGAAAGAAGGAAAATAAGTTAGTTATGAGCTCCACAGCTGGAGACCTGGGGCCGTATTCACAAAGGATTTTAGGGCTAAAAGTAGCTCCTAACTGGCGAATTTAGGAGAAACTCCTAAGCATAATGGGCGTGTCAGTCTTAAATTTAGTACTCCTAATTGTATTCACTAAGAGCAATTCACAAAGTATTTTAAGCCTAAAAGTAGCACCTAAGTCTGGGAGAGCTTAAAAGTCCTCATGAGGACTC